TTAGAAAGTCTATGTTATGCCAGTGACCAGAAGAAAATGAGTCCAGCCCTTCCTGTTTTCCTTCCTTCCTTCCTTCCTTCCCCCCTCTCTCTTCTACCCTCTCTCCTTCCTTCTTTCCTCCTTGCCCTAGAATAATACTGTCATCCCTTGTAATCAATTTAGTCCCAGTACTTCCCACAAATACAAAAATCCCTTATAGAAAATGGGGCAGTATTTGCATATAACCCATGTACATCCTTGTGTACACTTTCAAATCATTTCTCAATGAATTATAATGCTTAATACAATGTAAATGCTGTGTAAATAATTGTTACACTATATTGATTAGGGAATCACAACATGAAAAAAAATCAGCATATTTTCAGTAGAGACTCAGTTTCTTTCCCAAATGTGTTCAATGCATGGTTGGTTGAATTTGAGGGTGCGGAACCCCTGGGCACAGAGGCCAGCTGTGCTGCTTTATGTCTGTTCGCTGCTGTATGACTACTTTTATCTCTTGTCTTCACATCTGCCCCTCAAGGGAGCTAGCACACCAGGCCCATCTTAGGGATCGGGACACCAGAGCCCACACAGTGACTCAGGTGATATCTGGGTTGGATCCCAGGCCTGGCCCAGGTCCACTGTGGTGCCCGTCCCCCCTGTAGCTAGAAGGAAGGAATGGCACCTGTTGGAGACAGTGAACTCTTGTTCTCCCTGGAAGGTTTTCCCTCATAGCTGAATCCCATCCAGAAATATGTGGAAAGCAGGCGAGGCTCCCTGCTCTACCCCGAGGACGGTGTGGCCCTGCTTCTCACCATCCACCTTCTCTGCTCAGGCGGGGCCAGGCATCCAAGCACCATCTTCCTTCCACACTGCCTTGCTCCCCCGAGAGGCTGAGAGGGTGCGATGAGGACCCCTGCAGCCTGCGCTGGCTGTGAGAGCTCAGCATCCGCACCATGGCCACTGGGCTCCCTGAGGGAACCAGGATCGGGTGGAGTCAGTCACTAGTTGGCCCTGGTTTAGAATCCAGACCCCTTGGTTTAGAATCCTATCTGACAACCTCATGCTTTTGCCCTCTTTCCCACCATTACTGTGGGAGAGTGTTCACCAAGCTATCTCATTCCCTCTGATTCATGCTAGAGAGCAGTTTCCAGATGTGTTTGAGGAACTTAAGAATAGATGTGGACAGCTTAAGGACAGAAAATTCTAAGACTGCTGAGATCGAGACAGAAATGGTCCCAAGCGGTACTTCTGGCTGGGTTGATCCATCTGCATCTTGGCCAGTTTCTACTAAACTGATTTTTAGAAGTCAGTGTAAAAGAAGTTAAATTTTAAAAGTGCAAAAGAGTTGAAAGATGCTGGTGGTTGGTATAACTCTGTAGCCTGTGACCTTTCAGAAGAAAAAAAACTACCTCATCTTATTGTGCATTGATTGTGGCCAAGACGCAGTCAGAGGATCACAAGGGAGCTCCACAGCGCTCCACGTGGGATGACTCCTCCCCTCCTCCCAGGCCCTCTGCACCCTTGTGATCTTCTTCTGATTGGTGGGGGTCCTTCAGACGGTCATATGGCCAAAAGCCTTCCTGAATCTTACAGTTGAACAAAAGCCTTCACAGCTTCTGGGTAGAGAAACAAAACAGCAGTGAGGAGTCTTGCCTGGCCCGCGCCATGCTGTATTCTGGGGCCAGCCAGGAAGGGCTGCCTGCCTCCAGGATGAGCAGCAGTAGCGACGGGTGATTACAGGCCCACCTCTCATTAGCCGCCAATAAAGCCGGGCGGCGGCCAGCAGCCAGCTCCGTGTCCGTGGGGTGTTTTTGCAGTTCAGGAGCAAGGCGGCCTCACCTGGCTTGGCGAGTGGCTCACAGTCCCTTTCTGTCTCCATCTCACGATGCCTTCCAGAAGGAGGTGCTGAAATGATTAATGAGCAGGACAGAAAGACAACTGCTGCCCACAGCAACAGCTGTCTCGCACCAGCCCCTGAATAATTAGACAAGTGAGACAAAATGGGGTCCCAACCAGCAGGGCCTTTGGCACGGAAGTGCCGGTCTCCACTTGTGTGAATCAGGGAGTCAGAGCCCCCACATGGACTGTCCTTTAGCTTCCTGGCCCCCACTCCCCTTGTCTGCCTGTGGCCTGGAATTAGTGACTGTCTTCCGGATGCTGAGGCTGAAGAGAAGGCTGCACATGTTAGGGGCAGCCAGAGCCTCTTCGTGGAGCAGTAGGGAGGGCTGGGGTGGAAGTCGCTGTTGCCAAGAACCTAACAGTGTTTGTAACAAAAGCAAGGACTCCTGGCAAGAAGTCTGAGGGACTGTCTTGATCATAAGTGGTGTCTCCTAAGCTCTTTAATCATAGAGGATTAAGCGGGAAGTGGAGTGCTGGACTAGAGGAATAATGACACAAAAGAGGCGAAGCTGAAAAACCCAATTTCCTCCTTTATTTAAATGACTGGTGAGGTAAAGAGTGGAGTGTGGCATTTCCCCCTGCTCCAAGTTTGATGGGCTTTACGGGAACTGCGCATCTCCTGGGCCAGACCCAAGGCTGGGATCTTCAGCTGGTCTACAGAAAACCAACCTCAGGCCTGGTGCTTCATTAGGATGCAGGAGCAGTCTCCCCACAGTAATGGCTCCCTAATTCCACCCTTTCCTCCCAGCTTCTCTTTGTGGCATAGCTCATATTTTACATTCAGCACTTCAAGTCACTCAGGAATGGCATGCAAAATTGAGAGAGAAAAAGGCAGTGGGCCGTGTGGTTCCATCAGTTCTGCCTGGCATCACATCATTCTCGACCTGTGCTGTGCCCTGCTTGGCTAAGAAGAGTCACTTAGACAAAGCCCAGAGGCCCCAGCCACCTCCTCAAAGTAGCAGCGGGAATCACAGCTCATATCCCACCTCCTGTGTCACTGGGGCAAAGGGATACAGAAGAACACAGCCAGAAGTGGATGACAGAGTCTCACTGAACGACAAAGGAAGGGAAATAGATTATGCAGCATCCAATGGCTGTGAAAGTCCACTTTTTCCCAGTGGAAACTTGCCAGCCCCAGTTCTTAGTAACCACCCCTACCTCTAGTGATCCCCTGTGGTATCTTGCGTGTGATTCATGGTACCCAGAGTTTGAGGGAGGGAATTCTAAAAAGCTTATCATGAACACCATCATTGGAAAATACTAAGACATCAGTACCCAAAGGGAGAGAAAGAAGGGAGGGGGGAAGAAGCAAACAGGAATTGAGCACCACCTAGTACACAGTACTGTATTCAGCACCTCTTATGTCAACTCACTGAATTTTCCCAACGGTCCCCTAAGACAGTCCTAATCATTCCTGTTATACAGATGAGAAAACTGAGGCTGCAAGTTCAACTCTTTGTGAGAGGCAGCCATTAGCATGATGGGAAAAGTGTGGGCTTTTGAAGTGGATCGGAACCCACTCTTACCACCCACTGGCCCATTGATTCAGGGCAAGTTATGCGCATTTGTTTCCTGCTCTGTAAAATCTGGACAAGTGTGCCTACATGCTGGATTATGGGAGGATAAAATGAGATAATGGAGCTAATAGCACAGCTCTGGCACACAATGGACCCTCAGAAAATGGCAAGTATCATTCTATGACCTCACTGTGGGCGTGTCAAGATTGGTGCTCTGAGAAGCAGCTTCCTCCTGCCTTGGGCACACTCTGCTGTGACACCTGACCTTAAGGTCCACACTGGAGTATTGCCCTGTATGGACAGGCACAGCCAGGCACAGTGCTGGATACCTAACGAGCCTGGTGGCCTTGGAATTCTTCATGTCGTAGTCTTGTACACTGCAAATGAATCACCGTGCCTCCTCAGAAAGAGCTGCGATCAGCAGGAGGGTGATTTCACTTTACCAGGCACAACGTATAATATTCTCTGAATATTGCTGTATGTTTGAGATACTTCTTCAGCAACTCCTTTCCCAAAATTTACAAGATGGAGATTTCATCAGGCCTGACAACTGAATAGGCAGAGAGGTCACGAGTTTAAAATAATCCTCATGCATACCTTCGCAATTTGCCTAATTACATTCCTGAAATTATGCATCTGCATGCCCCGTGACTCCCCTGGGCATTGTGTCTTTGCACCACTCATGCCTGGCACAGAGCTGCCACAGAGTAGGAGGTCCCCACCCCACGTGGGGATGACCTAGCGTCAAAGAGCTGGAATAGAGCAAATGCTGGCCTCTCCTCAGGGCACAGCCTCCAGAGCTGCATGTGGCTTCTCCTTGGCTACTGTTCACTATAGGACCCCGCAGCGGGCTGGGTATTTCTGGGAGCACCATGCCTAGCCATGGGGCCGGGCTTCGTAGTTCGCGACCACTATGGGTGTGCTTGTTCCGTGACTCAGAGGCTGGGTTAAAGGGCGTGGGTTCTGTGCCTACTGAGATGCGCTTGCATCCCTGAAATGCCTACTTCTCCGGGCTCACTTAATGGCATCCCAGATAACACTGCAAACCAGTCTTTTAGCACTATTGCCCCTTGGAATGCATTTCAAATGCTGGCCATTAAAAACAGGCCCCCTCGCAGACCCTTAATGATGACACTAATAACTGTGGATTTTTGTCACCCAGAGTCCTGATGAGCCGAGAAGGGGAGTAAATTATGTCACTAACTTTTATGTGCATGGTTTATTGATCTTTGAGTTTCCAGGGGACTACACCAGCTCCTAGAGCCTGACAGTCTAGATTAGCTTTTCATCTATGTAATTGGGCCACTGGAGCACAGTTAATTTTTAATTTTTATTAATAGAAAGACAAAGAACATGATGTGCTATCTCTGTATTGAGATAATGAACATATCAAAATACTCTACCTGGTAATTATGACTAAATCGTCTTTCTCCTGACCCAGCAATGATTTAGGTTACTAATTCATCCAGATTTTCATCATAATGTATCATGAGAAGGTACAGTGCTGTGTATTTATATCACCTACAGATCTGAGCATGCTCCATCATCAGCTCTCCGGCTGCACTAATCCACGTCGTTTCCTGTCTTTCTCTGTCTTAACAGGTCAAAGTCATGCTTCGCATTTGTTCCACTTTGGCTCGTGATACCTCAGAGTCCAGCTCTTTCTTAAAGGTGGACCCACGGAAGAAGCAGATCACTTTGTATGATCCCCTGACGTGTGGAGGTCAGAATGCCTTTCAGAAAAGAAGTAACCAGGTTCCTCCTAAGATGTTTGCCTTTGATGCAGTCTTTCCACAGGATGCTTCTCAGGTGGGTATAGCACAGCCCCTCCCCCCAGATCAGGCAGGGCTGACAGAAGAGAGTCTGTTTATTCTCTAGGACCTGTGAGCCGTTGTCCTCTGAGCACTAGGACAGATCCATTCTCCACCCTTACCTTGAGCTCCATCAAATAGTCCAGTCCTTCTGGGCTGCTGGATCGTGCCTTGGGAAGGTCCATTGTGCTGGGATTTCAATGAAGTATATTCCTGGGGAAAAGGCAGAACAGGCAGTCAGAAGCAGAAAGATAGCAGGCACAATTAGAGGTTATGGGAACAGCTACAACTATGTGGTCTGGCCTTATATACTAGATATATAGATATAGATATATAGATATAGATATAGATATAGATATCAATTAGCTGTTGCTGCTTTACAAATCACCTTCCAGTTCAGTGCTTAAAACAGCAGACATTTGTACTGCTTATGGCTCAGCCAAGCCACCCTAGCTAGGCTCTGTGATACGCCATAGGTTGTGTACACAACTCTGCGGTTCTTGGCTGGCTGCTATCACATGGTTAGAGACTGGCTGGCAGTAAGCTGGTCTAGAACGACGTCGGCTTGGTCCACTGGTGTCTCTTGCAGGCTAGCTTGGACTTGCTCCTGTGGCAGTGCCAGGATTTAAGCATGAGGCCTCTCAAGGCTGAGGCCCAACACTGATACAGGGTCACTTCTGCATTCTATTGACCCAGATTCAAGAAGTGGGAAGAAAGTCCTTTTGATTGGATGAGTGGCAAGGTCACACTGCGAGAAGAATGTACACAAAGCAGGGTGGAGACTGGGGGACATTTTTGCTAATCATCTACTAATATAATTTTGGGATGATTTGAGGTCTGCGGTGTCATGATTTATGGACCTCAGGCAGCCAAAGAATGGCAGACAGAAACTACACATTTCAACGAATGTGGTCCCCTAAAGGGGCACAGAGCAAGGCCTGCTCCTTCAGGAGATTGAGGACTGGGGACGTGCCAAAAGTGTGGGACTGATTAATTGCAGAAATTACTGCACAAGCCAGGACTGGGGAGGTAGCTTAGTGGCACAGCATGTGTGTATCATCTTCAAGGCCCTGGGTTCAATCCTCAGCACCGAAAATAAACACAGACTTACATAGAGATAAGCCAGGGCCTCTGCTTGTAGTGGCCTGCTTTTCCTGATTTGTGCTATCATCTACCTGTTCCTTTCTCATAAATTCAGGTTAGCATGGTACCAAATAGCCTAGAGCTAAATCTGAGAATGGCAGTACCAATAGGTACCATTTGCAACCTGTTAATTTCTTCCATGTTGCACCTAAGCATAGGATGTAATGATGTTCACAGGGTTCCCCATATCAGACCACAGACAGATACAGCGTATTATAGGCTCCATTCATTAAGAAGTTGAGCATATGGTTTCCCCAGAGAGTTGGACCAGGAGAAGGGAAAGTACTTTATGGACAGGTTCTATGGTTTGTTCATTTTAGTTCTTGTGTTGTACCACCCAATGGGCCCAGTAGTTTAAACCTGACATTGGGTCTAATAAACAGCTTACAAATAATTTAATTAACACAACTAAAACTTTTCAGAAGCAAATATTGGTAAGTTGTGAGAATTCCAAAGCAAACCCTAAATTAAGCATGGACTATTAATGAGTTTTAGATTTATTCTAGGAAAAGGAACCATTTTTATTGCTAGTCTGTGCTTACTTTTTGCACTTGGTTCCCAAGCTCAGTATGCTCACAATTATAGCTTCACTCATTTCAAAATGTTTTAATTTGTTCAGATGCCCAATATTCTAAGTTCCATATAAATTTAGATCTTTTTTTTTTTTCCAGAACCAGGGATTGAACTCAGGTCCTTGCACATGCCAGGGAAGTGCTTATTCTACTGAGCCACCTCCCCGGCCCCTAAGTTCCATATAAATTTGTGGTTTTTCAAGAAGTTTCATAAAAGTCACCCAACTGACTCCTCCTAGAAGTCTGTAAGAAGGAAGAATTCACTCTTTTCATACAATAAAAAAGGGAACTGAGATGCAAGGGATTAAGTGCCCAGTTCGTGTTCCCTGTCCTGGGCACATGTCATCCTGGATTCTCCCATTAATCTTTCTGCATCCTCCTCAGGATGGTGTATCTTTGACCTCCTGTTACTATGTCCACTGTTTCCTAGCAGTGTATCCTTGGGCGAGTCACGCACTCAACCTCTCTGGGCCTCCACATACTCACTCATCTTTCCAGGAGAAAATAGACAAAAGTTGCCTCACTGAGTTGTGATTCATTGAATGGACATGCATGAAGTTCCTAGAACAAAGACAGGGACATAGCAAATGATCAGTAAATGTTAGTTAGACCAATAAATGCTACTTTATCATTATATCAGCAGTGTTATATGTTGATATTAGGCTCCAGGGCATGGCCGGCTCAGCGGCACAGAATGAGCACCTCTGCACCTCCACGCTTGGAGGACAGAAGATTTTGCTCTCAGGTCCTGGTCAGTGGAGCAGCGGCCACCAGGCAGGCATGAGCTGTGCTTTCCTCCCAGTGCCAAAGCCCACCTGCATCCCAGAGCTCAGCAAGGATTAAAACAGTGCTTGTTCTTCCTTATGACCTTAAAGTGGCCTCAGAAGCCACTTGGTGCCCACTTTTCGGACTGACTCCTGCTGGGTCCTCCTAAGGCAGGAATAGTAGTTGGAGGGACTCCAACCTGTGGGTGAGCAGAGCCTCCAGGTAGATTTGGCACTGCCCAGGAAGGCTGCTCGCTTCTCTGGGACCCCCGGGAGAGGCAGCAAGTAGCTTCTGGGGGCTGTGCTAGCCCTTGAGAAACACCAGTGGACAGAACACTGACCACTCCTGACAGGTAGCCTGGCAGGGACTCTGCAAGCGTTCACTCCTGCGTCCCCTGCCCCCTCCTTGTTTACAGGTGACTCAGTGGAGGTAGTGTGGCCCATGCACAACTAGGATCCTCCTTGGTAACATCAGACACTAATCCTTCTCTGTATGACTCAAGGTGGATTTCTTGTCCAAGGAAGCCAGTTCAGAGGTTCATTGGGTCATTCCATCTCCCCGTTTTGCAGAGGCGCCTCTGGAGAGTCCTATCAAGATTCTCCAGCCGCTGCCTCAGGCCTTAATGTGCTCCTTGCCTCGGTTCTGGGGGCTGCAAATGATCCTGTGGACCCCCAGTAGCCCTGTCTTGCCATCCTGTGAGGAGCCCCTCGCAGAGCTGCTGAGACGACCACCCTGGAACAATTCACGGTTGTTGGGAGTGTGGTTTTTCAGTTTCAGTTTGGGAGAGAAAATTGATTTCCAAATACTTAGATTCATTGTGCTGCTGAAACCTGCAGCTGAATAACTACATTCATCACTGAGGCTGCCGGTCCAGAGCGCACTGGGAGGCCCATTGCTCTCAGAGCTGCCGAGGCCCAGTGTCTGCACGCTCTCAGCACTTCCCCAGGCTCAGCCCCGAAACAGAAACGAAGGCAACGGGACACAGAGTAATTTCATCCTCCTGCTGCTGTGAAAGTCCCAGATGCTAAGCAGAGAGACATTTCCCAGATCACCCAGTCTGCTGCACAGAATTCACTGAATCCCTATTGTTTGCAGAGCTCTGTGTTACTGGATGACGGGGGTACAAGACGCCCCCACAGCCTGTGGCTCCAGTCTAAGGGCTTAATAACCAGGTTGGGGATGAGACCCACACAGGCTGAAGGCCTTTCATTCGCCACGTACTGACGAGCGGTTGAGATTATATATGCTGAGTGAATGTGTAGAGAAAAAAGAAAAGGCTGGTTTGGAAAAGAGGAGGACATAAAATGAAACAGAAAAGACCAGGGGAAAAAGCGGACGCACACCACGACCCTCCTGCTTATGTTAGAACTGCAGAGTTTCTCAAGGACCCTGGCCTGCTGTGGCACGTCACCTTTATCCCTCTGCTAGTCTCATCCGGTCTGTAGACATGTGTGTGTGTCTGTGTGTCTGTGTCTGTGTGTCTGTGCGCCTGTGTGTCGTGTGCCGTATGTGTGTCTTTGTGTGTGTCTATGTGTGCATGTGTATGTGTGTCTGTGTGTTTGTGTGTCTGTGTGTGCGTGTGTGTGCGCGAGCGAGCGTGAGTGTGTGTGTGTGTGTGTGTGTGTGTGTGTGTGTAGGGAGGCTCTGATTAGCAGAGCACAAGTAGACAGCTGCAGTGCCTTGTCCAAGAGCCCAGGGCCGCAGGTGAGGGAAGGGAGTGCGATCTGTGAAGACGCCCTGTCCTCCCACTGCAGCCTGCGCCTGCCTGCTCTACGGGCACAGCCACTCGGCCCCACGTGGGACATCCTCAGCTAACATGGGCAGTTTTCAGGCTTGCAAGGGGCAGAAGGTATCTGAGATCTGGTACTCCAGGGCAGAGGAGTACCCGTCTGAGAACGTGATGACACCGGGACCCTAAGCCACTTCCAGGCAGGCTCACTTGTGCACTGTTAATGATGACTCAACTGTGCAACCTGTTCACTGCTCATGTCTCCTCTTGTGTCTGGCAGGCTGAAGTGTGTGCTGGGACCGTGGCAGAGGTGATCCAGTCAGTGGTCAATGGGGCCGATGGCTGCGTGTTCTGCTTCGGTCATGCCAAACTGGGTTAGTGAGAGCTGTGCTTCTTCCTCCTGCTTGTTGACTTCCCCATCTCTCCATCATGCTTCTGCCCCAGCCCAGAGGCCCCGACAAGAGGCAGGGCTAAGATTCACAGGTACTGCACTGCACGGTCATGAGCAACCCAGACTGCGTGCTGTAAGTGGGCACTGTGCGTGTAGGACAGACTTCAACTACAAGAGATAGACAAGGTAGGAGCAAGGTTGTTCTGGGTCAGGAATAGCCAGGTCCAGATCTGGGAAACATCACTTGATCCAGGTCAGAGGTGAGCCTAGAAAGCAAGCAGGAAAATTCATATTTCTTAAGGGGCTCTTTGGGAAGCAGACAGGGCTACTTGTCCCCATCCTAGAGGATTTGGGTTGGTGATGGAGCCAGTGGAAAAGCAAGAAATGCAACCTCCAAACCCCTCGGCACAGTGCAAAGACCTGCCTCGGGGAAAGCAGGCAAAGTTGTCTTTACTGCCTGGTGGCATCCAAGTGCTGCCACAAATCCTCCTGTGCTGAAGCAGCTGGGAAAGGAGGTGGTAAGACACCCAAGCAAGGGCCTTGGTGAAGCCCTCTCACCACCCTTTGTCCTGACCTGGGGCTGGCTAGCTGCTTGTCCTATGTGCCTGAGAAGCTACCACTGTAAGTTTGAAAGCTGTCCCCTGGCAGAGACTGCACCAGAGTTCTTGCATGGGACCCAAAGGCCAGTTCTCAGCCAGGACAGAAAGTCCATGGCATCTCTGTCTCTTCCTTCTCCCCCGCTATTTCCTTCTCTTCTTGATCTCAGATCAAAGCAGGGATCCAAATTTTAATGGAATTTGCCCATGCTATAAAAATATACACAGCATTTAACTTGAGAAAGGATATAAAGTATGAGTATATGGATTTAATCTGTGGGGTGGCTATAAAAAGCACAATAATTGTGATGAAAAGTCCCTGCCTTCCCACTCTGTGTGAAACAGTTGTAGGCACTGGGTAGCCTGGATTCATCTTGTTGTTTGTTTGGGCTCTCACATTCTGTGATGTAGCCATTTCATCATGAAGACTAGGAAAGGCTTCATTTTTTTTTTTTTATCATTGTCAATTGCTTCCTGGTTTGGTGGTTTTTAACTTGGCTTTTAACTTGACTTCACTCCTTTTCTTCCCTTTCACCCATATCCCTGTGCCTTTCCTCTGCTTCTTTGTCATCTGTGTGTCTGACTCTCTAAGACGTTGTCACAACTCTCCAGCCCTCTTTCTGTTCTTCCCTTAACCTTGCAGGAAAATCCTACACCATGATTGGGAAGGACGACTCCATGCAGAACCTGGGCATCATCCCCTGTGCCATCTCTTGGCTCTTCAAACTGATCAATGAACGCAAAGAAAAGACTGGGGCCCGTTTCTCAGTCCGGATCTCAGCTGTGGAGGTGTGGGGGAAAGAAGAGAACCTACGGGATCTGCTCTCTGAGGTGGCCACGGGCAGCCTGCAGGATGGCCAGTCCCCAGGCGTGTACCTCTGCGAAGACCCCATCTGTGGCACGCAGGTGAGTGACTCCGCAAGCGTGGTCTCCCGGGTGGCTCATCCCCCACATCGGAGGCTGAGGCAGCGGAGCCACACAAACACAGGCATATGAGTGTTTACTTTAAAGTGGACTAGAACTTCATGCCTGCAGCTGCGGGGCCATCTGCTCACCCAACCTAAATATTTGTACCTGGAATCTAATTGACAATGAGCAGGAGCCACAACTGTCATAGCATTTGGGGAGAAACTGAATTCACTTTCTTTATGCCCCCCCAAAAGGCGCAATCTTTCTTTTGTTTAACAACAAACTGCAATATTTACTGCTCTACACAAATAGCTTCAGCCATTACTTGGGCTGTTTATGGCTCTATAAACTGTGTTTCTGGCACTGGTTTACAGCCGGATTAACAGTGCTGTAGGAAAAACTAATAACCACTTTCTAATTAGAACCATGATATAATTGCTGGAGCTGTGGAAGCCAAAAGAAGCTCTAGTTTGCTTTTCCAGGTTGTTGCACCTCTTCTGGGGCTTTCCTTTGCTCTTTAAGAGTAGGTGCAGTATGGACTTGGCCACCCTTATTCATAGCCGGGACAAGCAGTCTGCCAGTGTCCTGCAGTAGGCCTTATTTTCTGCCTTTTAAAGAGGCGCCCTTTTTTTCTGCTGGGAGTTCAGATTGCTAAGTACTGCCCCATCCCACTGGGAGCATTTGCTAAGGTGAGGATGCCGCTATCATACCCATTGCCCAATCCAACAGTGCTCAGCATCTGCTTAGCACACCTCTGTGCTTGCACTTTCCTTTCCAAGCCCCTGTAGTCTGCTCCACAGTTACCTGGAATATGTGTTCAAACGTCAGTCACGACTGCTGCACCACCTTTCCCAGGAGTTGCTGGTTCGGCAGCAGCACTGGGTTAGAGCCCCCAAATCTGCATCTCTAACAAGCTCCTGTGTTGCCACAGGATCACCTAGTCCAGGGATCACCCTTGTGAGCCACTGTCACGTAATGCTGTCTACACAGCCCCAGTGATGGAGTCTAGTACTCCGCCACACTGCTGCTCATGCATGAGCTATCTCTTAGGAGTCCATCAACAACTTAGTCATCTAGGTAAAAGATCTGGGGGCCAGGGAGATAGCTCAGTAGAATAAATGCTTGCCTGGCAAGCGCAAGGGCCTGAGTTCAATCCCCAGTTCTGCCAAAAAAAAAAAAAAAAGGACTTTCTAAGTAAAAGATCTGATTAGTGGAAGGTGAAGAAGATGAAAGATCAGCATCCTCATTGTTTTGGTTCTCCTGATTGAACGCTTTTTTCAATTATTTGGTTTACTCTATAAATACAAAACCATGCACACAATACAAACTGTCTTTGAAGTTCAAGGAGTTTGATGGTTTTAGGCTCCAAATATTGGCTGTCATAGTTCAAAACTGTAGCATAGAGTCTAACTAGAAATTTGTCAGAGTTTGTACCAACCCTAAGGCATCCTGCAAATCAGTTCTTTGAACAAATCATGTTTCTTTTCTCCAACAAGCCTAAGTGCTGGCCAAATTCCAATAATACGATTGTTTTATTCCAAGCTTACTGTAATTGCTAAGGGTTCTTATAAGACTTAGACATGGTGCCCACTCTGTTTTCTGTAATCAATTACTGAGTCTGCCATGAATAAGGATCCAGGAACTGAAGGTAAAAATAGATATCTCTTAAACACAGATGAGATTTTCAAGGATCTTGCATATTTGAGTGTGTCTTTTACATGGAAAAGACCTTTTTTGATCATAATTGTGTTAGTAAATGTAGTTGCAGATTAGCATTAAATTAAATAACTGAAGAGTTAGGAGTCAAGTGAAAGCTAACCAAATTTAAAAAAGCAAACAACTTCTTTGGGACATCAGTGCTGCGAGCTCTCACATCACGTTTTGCAGCCTGGACCTCTTCAAACGATCTAATCACTGAGACCAAGCTGCTGTCCTATCCCGCGTGTTTTCCGGGGTAAACGGATCACACAGGCTGTCGTTTTTGCAGCCTCTGCAGAGATGAGCATGGGCCATCTGCTCTCATTGATCTCTCAATACAACCATTTGCTGTTCACACCTGCTATTTACAGATTCTACTGTAAAATAGGTAAAAGCGGTTGTGCTCAATCTCAATTTTCAGAAATGAATTCATTAAGCTGAGGCTTGCACAGGACCCAGTCCCAGAAGGACTTCTGGCCTTAGCAAGGCACATGTCTTCATTGTGCAGAATGAATAGGCAGCCGAGTCAAGCTGTTAGCACCCCGGCGTGAGTGACAGACGAGCCCCCTCACCCTGCAGCCTCAGCCCCTGGCTTTCTGTCTTTCAGCTGCAGAACCAGAGTGAGCTGCGGGCCCCCACTGCAGAGAAGGCTGCCTTCTTCCTGGACGCTGCCATTGCCTCCCGCAGGAGCAGCCAGCAGGACTGCGATGAGGAGGACCACCGCAACTCCCACATGCTCTTCACACTGCACATCTACCAGTACCGGATGGAGAAGAGTGGGAAGGGTGGAAGTAAGTCAGTTTGGCCCACAATGGCATGCTCCCCCCATCTGGGGTGGCCTTGACCTTTTCTGAGTAGAATAACCACTGCATTAACATGGAGTTCCATGCTTTGTAATTTTAGATAGTTACAACGTCTGAGCTGAAGTTCACTTTTGAATCGTCCAAGGGCAAAAAGCTTGGTTTGTTAAGGCTAACTTAAAAACAAACTGCCATGGGCATGGGGAAGAACAGACTTACAAGAGAAAAGCAACTGCTACGTGGTTATCTTTCTGTTCTCAAGCCCTGAAGGTCCTCATCAGGAAAGACCAAGATTCAGCCACCACAACACCCTGGCAATGTGCCACCCATCATCAGCTTGAGTCCCTTCTGGGGCCTTGACACAGTCAAGTTTGCTAAATGGTCTGTGCCTCAGACTTGGACGCTGGGTGCTGGCTGCCTCTCCCAAGTGGCTTAAGTGTCACTGCCTCCAAGCTGCACTGCCTGCTCTGAGCACTGTGGTTCAGTCTCCCCTTGGCTGTCTTGAGACAGTCAGCAGTGCTTGGTGCAGTTCTCCCTCCTTGGTTATGTCTTCACTCAGGCAGTTCCAGTACCAGTATTACTAGGGTGGTGCTGGGGACTCGGGACCATGGGCAGCATGTTCTGCTGCCCTCACTCAGCTTTCCAAAGTGAGCTGTGGGCGACAGTGTTGGGCTGGGATAGGAGTGGAGAATGGGTTCTTCCATGTCTCTTAAGTCCACTTCTGTAGGCTTTCAAAACTCAGGCAACTAGCGCACCGAATGATCCTCCCAGGGACAGTGGGTGCTAGAAAGGAAGTCAGGAGAGTGACCTTTGGCTTAGAAATTCTAAAGCCAATTAACAAAAGCAAATGCAATCAACTAATCTAGTCTAGCTGCATCCTAGAAATAAGCCATCGTCCTGGGTCCATGGACAGGCAGGCCCCCCAGTTTCTCCACAAGTCTCCTTGTTGCCCAGAAGATTTGAGAACCCAGACTCTTAGAGATAGCTCATCAAGGCTTCTGTTGCACCCCAGTGGAAGCCCACCCTCAGTGCCTCTGTTGACCAATGGCCTGCCATTGTTCCTCTGCCTCAGTTGAATTTTACACTCTGAGTCTGGAAATGTAATTTACAATCAGTGACACACACTTTCAGATGAGTTCTGGCAGAGCACCACAACAGTCAGAACACAGAAGCAGGCCAAGTTCCCTTCTACCCCTTGTAGTCGGTCACTTTGCCCACCTCTAGTCCTGGCGACCATTGGCCTCGTTTCTGTCTTTTTGCCCTTATCCAGACTATCATACGAGTGGAATCATGGGATCCATAGGTGTCCTTTTGTGCCTGTCCATGGTGCCTGCCCCTTCAGTTTTGACTGCCTCCCCCATCCCCAGGAGGGAATGAAAATACCTCCGCATGGGGCTGGAGCGCTGCTCACCAAGGCTGCCCTTTTATAGTGCTAAAAATCAGCCTCAAGCCACTACTGTCTCCCCACTTGTACTCAGTTGTGCACCCCAGGGAATGTTCCCCTTTAGCAGACCAGATGTCTCCTGACAACCCATGTTGGTGAGATGGTTTGACAGGGGACAAACCGAGCATGTTTAATGGATTTCTTTCTGGGAAACTTAAATCTCAAAAAAAAGAGTTCACCCTGTGTAGAGCACTTCCATTTACAATAACATTTTATTGAAGCAAATAAGGGATTAGGAGAAGGACAAGAAGATCCAGACCTTGAAAAGTCCACAGCAGATTTGTATGCACATTTCTCCTGAAGATCTAGGAGCAGGCTCTAAATCCTGCCCCCATTGTTTAATTCTGGTTAATGTCTTAACAGAGTGAATGTAAAAGTCTGAAAAATATTTATTTTATTTGTTCAAGCAGTTGTCAATAATAATAATAACCATTGTTGCCTGCAGCATATTCTAGGTCTTTCAGCAAAAGGTAACATAAAAGACCTGAATCTTGAGCCAAATGGCTCCCAAATGGCACTAAGCAGAAAAACTCAGAGGGTGGGACAGTCTCTTCCTCCTTGCAGGTTGCAAACCAAAGTCAGAACAACTCTTCAGGTTTTCACTTTTATTTCTTGGTTCTGCTTTCAATTTGGAATCTCAAAGCAGAGAAACCATGAAAAGAAGGAAATCATTAAAGTACCTCGAACAGAAGAACCTGAAATTCAGCTTCCACAAAAGTTTAAGTAAGGACAGTCCAGAAGCCCAACAATATACGCTACGTAATGAAACATGAGTATTTATTCAATATTGGACATTAAACTCATCTTCCTATTTTTAACTTGTGAAACAGAAATGCTTTGAAATAATAAATTCAGGTTAAAGGAAAAGATAAACACCACGAATGACTTCTACAACCTTTTTTAGGTGCTTCGAAATGTTGTAGAATAAGAAGAGAGAAGAGGCAGGTGTGCAGGCTACTGATAATACTCCCAATCCTGAATCTGGGGCATGTTTCCCACCTGCTGGGGCACCTGGCTTCTGTAGGGGTGGGAGCCGAGCCAGGAAAGGCACAGCCTCCCAGCCCATGGATTGTTTGACTTCAAGGAATTTGTGTATTTAAAATATAGTGAGAAGATGTAGGGTGTTATTTAAAAATGGAACTTGTGCTTACTTATATGTAAGTAATCCTGTGGGTTTGGCAGCCAGCACTTAATTAAGGGAAAGTTTATTAATTAGTCACTCGTCAGGGAAGCAGGCAACAGAACTCACTGCTGTTGGCCAACTGGTGGGAGCTTAGATGATGGATTCAAAGGTCTCTGCTACAAAAACTAAATATACCGTGTATATGAGCGCCCACGTCGCACACCCATATGCCCACTTTATGCACACATACACGCATAAAACTAAACAGACAAATGTGTGAAACATTTGTGGTCAAGATAGAAAAGAACATTCTTTGTTTATGTTATCACTCCTTTTTCAGATAGCACTAGGTTAAGCTCAAAATAGCTCCCTAGTTTCCAATATTTTTGGAACATTAGTAGGTCTGATTCTTTACCCATCATAGACGACTTCCCCTGCTAAATCTGTCATGAATTGAAAGCCTTCTTGGGAATTCCAGCATTGGGGAAGAGACTCCGAATGATGAGAGAGCTGCTGCTCATAGTAGTGAGTGGGTTAGGGATTTAAAACAAGATACTGTAGTGCTGTGCTAGTCCAGAGCAGTAATGGCAGACACAGAACTGTTGATGGTCTTTAAAGTGCGTCACCTGAGTTTGCAAGCAGCTGTGGCCTAGAGTGCAGAATGACCAGGTCTCTGATTTATTCCTTCACCTGGCTGACTCCAGGGTGGCAGTGTGAGCTGGGCTGAGTGCACGTGTGTGTACACAGGAACGCATGTAGGAGCTCCTGGTATGTGTCCGGGTCTGTACTCATGTGCTCACCAGTCTGATCAGACCATTTCCTTCACCTCAGTTTTGTTTTGACAGTGAACCAGCTTCATTTCCATGTCATGGAATGAATCGGATCAGCCAGGAGCCACTGAAGGCTGTGCGTCTGACATGGTTCTAAAGATCCATTATTTGCGGGGGGGGGGGGAGATGTGAGGAGAAGACTCTAGGAAAGACCTTGGTGCTGAGCTCTGTCACTTGAGTTGGGTCCCTGCCCTCCCGACCCCAGGCAGTGAGTAAGTCCAACCACTGCACATTCTCATTTCCCTCCTGGTCAATAATGAGGTGACCGTTTGTTACTTTCAGATTCTTATAACACCATTTTTGAAAACTTGGCTAGGAGACCAAACAGTGTGGCTTTGGCCTCCTACTGTACCTCATCTACAGCAGCAGTGCCCAGTCTTCATCTGAAGCCCCCTGTCCTGGCTGACTCCCAGCAGATAGTCAGCTTCCTGGTTCCTGAGAAAACAGGGAACCTCGTCCCTTCCCTCAGATGCCCATCTTTTAGCTCCAAATGTCCTTGTCTCTCTGCCTGGATTTCTCCCCACTCCCTTCCCATTGGCCAGCTCCTCTGCTTGCCTTCTCTTCTTCTGTTCTTATTTGCCTCCTCTGGACCTCACTAGTTGATACCCCTGCAGTTGTCTCTCAAGCGTATATATTTTTAATCTCGCCTACCACCAAAGTTCAGGACTACCTTAGCTTGGGAGGAAGAGAGGAACAGAAGAAAGAAACAACGGTCAGCTCGTCCCCCCACCCCATGTGCTCCTTGAACTTCCCACTTCAAGCAGCCCTCCAGATTTACCCCTCTGTGTTATCTTTCTCCTTTGAGTCCTATAGTAACATGAGGGGTATTATGCCTTTGCCTGAGCTCGCTGTATATGCTCCTCATTCGCATGCCTGTGTGAGCCCCATTAGTCTACACAATCCCAGAGGCAGAGGTCCTTGCTACTCCCCTTTGGTCCCCACAGCGCTGACACATAAGGTTAAGTACAGTGGAATGTGGGCTGTGTTTGAAAACCTACATCGCTCTGCTATCTAGTATCGCTTGTTTCAGGACAAGAAAGGCCACCTGGTTTCCTTTCATGTAAGCAGATGGTTGAATAAGCCCTCTGACACCAGACAATCAGGATCACTGAAAAAGTTGTGACAGATAGAAATCTTATATAATGATACATTCACAGAAAAGGCGGTAACTTAAACAAATGGGTAGGTATGCTTCAGTCTCTAGGAAAGACCTTGGCGCTGAGCTCTGTCTCTGAGTTGGGTCCTTGCCCTCCTGACCCCAGGTGGAGGGCCACGACTTTCTCTTAGAGATGAGCTTTCAACCTAAAGTTCTGACTTTCATGAACTATGCTCAGGTTAATAGTGTAGGTTTGGCTTTAAATTGTTTCAAAGAGGTTTGAGAACTTAAATTATTTGTACAGCCAGTGGATATAGAGTCCTCTAATCCCTTATAGTTTTTCCACTTTATAACATCTCGTGCACACCTAGTTCAGTGTCTTTTTTTTTTTTTGTACTGGGGATTGAACTCAGGACCCTGCACTTGCCAGACAAGCACTTATTCAGCTGAGCTATCTCCCCAGCCCTCAGTGTCATTTTTAAATCCATTTTTTATTAC